GTCATCTTTTGAGATTTTGATAAGAATCATTATAAATTTTCTAAAGGTCTTCAAGATCATTATTGTAGCTTAAGAAAATCTAATAATTATAAATGAAACATTGAAGTTGAATAATAAAATATTATTAAGAAAATGAATCTCAAAGAACCAAAAACTCAATACATTCTTGTATAACTCAAAAGAATAGATATTCACTTAAAATCAATATAGTATTGAAACTACAATAGCTATTGCCAAAGACAAAAAGACTATAAAGTTTTGAAACAAGACTAAGGACTAGAAAGACGTTGATAAGAGTGAAAAAGACCTCATTCTTGCCTCTATGTACACTATTTAACTAAAAGCTACATTGCAACATTTTATAGAACCTCCAACACATATCTAAGTTAAAAGACATGTGTCTAACTTATAAGACAAGGTTCTTATATGTGCACCACATAATTACCTTGTTTCACAAGCTACTAGTACATGAAATATGTGGCTAATTTATTGGCCAAGTTTCTAACCTACCAATCAACTACAAACATGTCTTAGGTCAAATACGCATCTATGAAGCTTCTAAAAAGCTTTGCCATAAGATAATATCAAATCTACTTATATTTATCTTCTAACTAATACTTCTTATCTAGATAAATATATATGTATATGACAAATATATTAAACAAATATAGGAAAAATTATTATATATACTATTATTGTTTAATATCTACCTTAAAAGTATTGCATCAAATCTAACATTGCTACAAAGATTTTTTTTTTACTACATTTATTCTTTATAAAAATCTAGGTAATAAATTCTTATTAATTTTTTTATTATAATATAAACCAATTAGGCCTTAAAATCTAGACATTTCTATAATTTTATTCTATCTTAATAAATAATTAGTATTAATATAGTTATCTTTTAATTTATACTTTTATTGATTAGATTTTTAAAAATTAATTGTAGATGGTGACTTTTTGAACTGAATAAATTAAAATAATTAATATAGTGGTTGCTTAATTCTAGCTTATAAGGTTTATTTTAGATCATAATTATTAGTTCTTGAGCCATTTTTAGTTTCAAATTTAAGCTACTTAATAAGCACAAAGAAGAAATTATTAGTATTATAGAAGATCAAGTGAAAATTATTTAGAAGCAATAATCAATCAATATATAAAGACTAAGATGAAGATAATTTAAATTTAAAAAATAAAATGTTACAAGAAAAAAAATAAAGATAATTTGAAGAAAGAATCAATGACTTTGAAGTTTAAGATTAAAGAAACATTTAGGAGATAATGAATAAGATTAGAATTAAGTAATAAAGATAGATTTGACCTAAAAAGTTTAAAAAATCCTACATAAATAGAGTTGATTACTAATGAAAGATTTGGATGAAAAGTATTATATAATTGGTAGAAATAGGATGAAATTAAAATTCAAAATTCCAAATCTAATGCTCATAGTTAGATAAAATATTTAAATTGTTTTTGAAATTTTAAGGATTTTTTAACTAACTTATTGCGTCTTTAACTTGATTTTATTTTATTCTTTTAAAAACTTTATTAGATTTTATGGATTTTTTTATATTTTATTTTAACAAAAAAATAATAATTTTAATTTTCTTTAGTTTTATGTATAGTTTGGATTTTTTTAGCTACAATTGATGTCTTTTAATCAATACATGTAATAAGATTTACAACATCTATTTAATGCAAGTTGGTTAAATATGAAGAAGTTATTTATTAATGCAAAGTCCACAATAATACTCTTATTCATCCACGCATTAAATCATTCTTGTAAAAATTTGTAATAGGCCAAAAAATATCAAACAACTCATTTCAACTAAATTTATTGAGACATATGAGACTACTTACTAAGCCAAGCAAGCATTGCTTCAAACTTGTGCAAATGATAGGAATTGCCAAGATTAACAAGACAACTTTTTGTAACTATTTGTTGTCAATAATTTTTCTTTAAACAATAATTAGTCTATTTTTAGTATATATAAAAAGTTTAATGCAAACTAAATCAACTTTAATTATTATTGAAAATCTTTGGGCACTTGTATCTTTGATTATTCTTACAATTGAAAAATATGCAATTGAAGTAAGGCATGGAAGAAGCAAATGATGTAGTTTCATCCCACACAAGCCGACATTTTTAGAGGGCAATAGACAAATAGTTTTGTCCCACACAAGCCAACATTGACAATGTGAAATCTCTTGCTATAACAAAACATAAGCAGATGCAAGCTGCTGATGAGTTATAACGACTGGGTTTCTTAATACCGACTACCTCTCGGTGTACACTCCTTGTAAGATCACAAAACCTTTCGTAAATCCTCCTCCAAGGTGAATCACTCATAATTATAACTGCAGCGATTTTTGGCCCGGACGTGAAGAGAAAAAGCTCGTAGGCCTCAGAAGTATAAGCATGTTCTCCAAATGCTGCAACTGCATTCCTTGAAGCTTGCAATTAGCAAAGCACCTCCGACAACTTCAGCAAATCTTCAAACACCCTTGACCTTTGCCATGGGATCGATTAAACTATGAATCAACGTATCAGATACACCGCACGAGTAGCAGACTTCGATGTCTAGTTTGCAAACACACTCCTACCAGCTTTGATCGCGTAATCCCTACTTTGTAAGGATTATGGGAGTGCATGAATTAAGCTTCATCAATCTTGTGAGCAAGAGAGATATTGCTTTTTAAGTCTAAGGTTTCATAACAAGGGTTGTGTGTTGTGGAGAGATTTCGGTGGAGTACTTCACAGGAATGATTTTGTGTGTGATGGTGGTCGTTGGAGGTGCGTTATCTTGATGATAATGTTGGGGTTGAAGTGTCTCTGCCGCTTTGTCAGGATGGAGACTGCCATCTTTTACCAGAAAAGTTTCTGTTCTGTATATATATTATGCAAGGTTTAAGGGACGTGAAGTCACTCTCTTTGTACTAATCGGGTGTGGCGGGTGGAATAATTTCAGTGTTTTTGGAATCATTTCCCCTCAAAAGCGTTTTTGCAAGCTGGTTTTTAATAGTGTATTTTTCCATTGTTTCGTATTTTGTGTATTGCTCTCCACCAACATGGTGATACACGGAAGTCGCAATGGTGGTGAATCATATTGCCTCGTAATCTTTTGATAGAAATTTAGATAGTCTTCAGGACGGGGATATCGGCATTGAGCTTGCTCTTAGGAGCTTGAGTTCAAAGACTTTATTCGATTGCACTGGTTTGGTGATTGCAGGAAACTTAAAATTGTGTTAAAGAGCTACTGCACTATTACGTCCGATTTGACAAGGAAGGATTACCTGGGCGATTGCCAATAAGACTAGATGTGAGAGGCAGCAGCGTGAGCCCCACCATACGATGTTCCACTAGGACACTCTTATATTGTGCTGGAGTCTCTCATGATGAGGTTGCAACAACAAAGTTTGTGCTCGTATTCCATCGCCCAATTTATCTTAAGTAGCTATGGCAGATCGCAGCTCTGAACGTCTAAAAAAAGGGTTCATACCTGGTTTTCAAACCTGTATCAAAACGGTTTCAATTTGGTTTCGAACGGGATCCATTCGATTGAAGATTCTGCCAACCGGTTTGGAACCGACCCAACAAAACACAAACGACTTCAACCAGTTTTAAACCGATTGCCAAATCTCCCCACTTAATATTTAAAATCCTTTGCTCCTTCTGTCTCAAATAATAACAATAAAGGCAAAACAATCAGCCAAGGTGACAACCCTGCGTGGTAGCGGTTGTGAACATTTGCGTATACTTCATCGTTTTTAGAGCAGTCGGGCATTTTCCCTCGACTCCAGTCTGATCGATGCACTTCAACCTGCTTCACATAGCACTGTCTGTTCATGCTTTAATCCACACCCCGTCTGATAGGTCACACATTCCAATCTCTGGTGCCGTCGAATGGACCTGTTTCAGACACTCGCCAGGATGGTCAAAATCGGATGACCCACGCACTTCTTACTCCTAGACTGTAGTACATTCCATCCCACAGTCAAGGCCTGGTGACACTGAGGACGTCACAGGTGATTGGTGCAAGAGGTACAGTAACTCATGAATACGGCGATCGTGTTAGCTGCTGCAAACCGGTGAAGTTGTCACTCGATGTACAGAAAGTGGAACAGGGTGTAAACGACATTGATGGAAAAAATCAATATAATGTTGGCTTGCGTCCCATAAGTATCGAGTGATTTCGATCAGGACTTATCTTCTGGACGTCATCTTGTCCACCCACTGACAACCACCAGCTTGTTCAATTCCTAGGTTTTCTGCAATGGCAGCAAGATGTGATGAAATGATCACATTCATCTACGGAGGCAGCTCTTTTTCCCACATCAGGGTTTAATTTCTCGTTGTTATTGAAAAGTGCTGGGAAGGGATTGTACATCACATGATGTGGCTGTTAGAAATTGACAGGTAACTGGCTAATTCTAATTGTTTACAAGATATGGACTTTTATACTAATAAAAATACATGTTATAAAAACGTTTTAGTGGAATATAGTATTACACGCACTTCCATCAATGACGACTCTCTTTCTACCTGCATCAATTGTTCAAGTGTGGAACTTACCATTCTGCAAACAGCGAACAGCGCACTTTGTTATACGATTAGTGTATATAGTCAGTTCCATTACAAATGATTTAATGTGCAATTGAAGTGTCGCCGTTCGTAGAGTACAATTTCTCTATTTCTTCTCCATTTTTTTCGTACGGCAACTGTTCATCGACGTTGGCTGCTCCACCAACAGTTAACGCCCTTCCACCAAATTTCTTTCCTACAACACATATTTTCCATTACAACAATCTCCACAATTTCATCACTATCAAATTGTTGAAAATAAATTGACCACTTACACTACCAAGCAACTCCATTGCAATTGGACATTCCCGACCACAGACTGCAATCCAGTCGAGATAAGAACCTCCATTCCACTGCAAGAAATCATCAATCCACCACCCCAGATAGCAACCAAGTTGATTTCATCCCACACCAGTCATACTTAACCCACGTATATCCCATCGATGCACAAAGATACATACAATACACAGTTGGCTCTGAGGTGGATCATGTCCTGACAACAGACGTACTTCAAGCACACGCCTCCAGGGCACTCGCGCTAGCACTAGCCTCACTACTTGTCCACACCCGTGCTGCACATCTTCACTACAGTCCACACCAAGTGCAGGCCTCCTACTCTAAGCCCCCGCAAAGGTGCAAAAATGGATCCCCGCTTCCATACAATAATCGCCCAAATCCTATCTACACCCTAGTTCTTCAAAGTCGTCTGGATCAGCATGCGTGCCACCACGTAAGGGTCCACATTCGCCGCGGGTCTGCGATCCTCCAAATAACCCTTGCCGTCAAGAGACACTCCAAGAGGGATACGGATCGATGCACCTCTGTCTGCGACCCCCGATTTGAAAGTGTTGATGTTGGCAGTCTCGTGCTTTCCTGGAACAGAATCCACATCACATTGCCATCAGAAATCACTCCACAATACACACGAACACCTCCCCATCTAACAACACCGACAGGACACAAACGACGCTGTACACACTGCGAAACCCTTCAGCTAACAAATGCCGCAACCTTTACGAAGTGCTCGCTGTGCCGTCCAACATCTAAGAAACAGCCTTTGCCAACGCACCATATGACAACAACCATCTACGCCTTGCCCAACGCCTTCAGCGATAGATTCAAGGAGACACCACACCAGCATCACGCATGGAGGCAAATGTCTAATTACCAGTCAGACGACGCTCATTGCCCAACCCGTATGAGGAGATGTGCTCCACGTGCTTCTTGGACAACTTCTCAATGGCGGCGTGGATGGCCTTGATACCGCCGTCCACCCTCATTGACTTCGTCGAGTAGTTGGTGTGAGCTCCAGCACCATTCCAGTCACCTTCCATGGGCTTGGGCTCGAACGTGCAAGTAATGCCGAAGTCCTCACCCAAGCGGTGAAGCAACCAACGTGCGATCATGACGTGGTCACCCACTTCCAAAGGTCCAGCGGGGCCGATCTGGAACTCCCACTGTCCCGGCATGACCTCGGCATTGATACCACTGATCTTCAGCCCAGCCTTGATGCACGCATCCATGTGCGCCTCCACCAGAGGTCGCCCGTAAACCGCCTCCAGACCCACTCCACAGTAGAAGGGGCCCTGTGGGTGTGGGAAACCTCCTTCTGGCCACCCGTATACCTTTCCGGCCTTGTTGAACATCGTATACTCCTGCTCAAATCCGAACAGTGTCTCCTCTGCCAGCACATCCGGGGTCAACAATTCCTCGATCTTGCGCCGGGTGTTGGTTTCATGGGGTGTGCTGTCGGGGTTCAACACCTCACACAGAACCAGCACGTGGTTGTCCCCGCGGATGGGGTCAAGGCAGCTAAACACGGGGTTCAGGATACAGTCGGAGAATCGCCCCTCTGCTTGCCCAGTGCTGCACGACGCCCCCAAACACTCATGTCAGTGATGCTTGTCCACTGAGCAGGCAAGTGAAATTTCACCGAACATCCCAATTCTGTCAAATTCATCTCGAATTCAACGGCGTAGTCCTTTACCTGGAACCGTCGAATGACCACTTGGGGAAGTCCAAAGATCCGGCCTTGATGGGCTCCTGGATCACCTTGGTCTTGGATCGCATTTCGTTGAAGCGGATCCCTTTCTGACCCTCCTGTCCATCCATCCAGATGTACTCTGCCTTCTGTGCCAAGGCCATGATCTTGAACGCTCCTCCCTGCACAGCCATTGTCGCGTGCGACCACTCCATCACTATTCTTTCAACCCATGTGACAAGTGGTACCACAGTGTCTTCATGCGCCAAAACCGACAGACCCAGATTCAAATTCGAGTGTGCCCTGAAAGGCACAGAACTCTTTTTCCTTATACATACACTTATATGAAACCACCATTGCGAAACGCAACAGCAATTTCAATCACTTCCTCATATCTCAACCGCTCAGCCCTATCAACTTTCTTTTATTTCTATATCAATCAGACGATTGAGTAAAGAGGGTCATCAAAGCAGTCTAGGACGTGAAACAGGAAGACATTACCGGCCACAAGACAGTCAAAAAAAGCCATGAGACTAGGTAGATGAAAGAGATGACTAATCTCAAGGCAATTCAACACTTATTTGAATTGTTCGGGAGATTCATAGAAATCGTTGACCACAATGACTCACTAATAATTACAGAATACAAAACCTAGAGCCCTAACCAACCAGTGTGTCGCAGTAAGTGTATTACTGCAATGACAGGACAAGAGGCCAAGGCAATGTAACCCTCATCACTCGTTTTCTATCCACTGTTGGGTATGAAGGACATCCTTCTTCGTTGACTGACAACGGATTTTCTCTCACAACACCGAGTGGGAACAGGACGTTTGGTTTTGGATATCACACTCCTGGGACACTATTCCAAACTGAGAATAGAATGTTGCTCCCCTGCCGGCACCAGGAGATTGCAACTACTAGCCAGTGCAATGAACTGGATTATTCAACGAGACACTAACACACCTAGCCAGTATTAAGGATCCCCTTCCAATCCTGCTGTAAAACCATTCTCCAATTGGAAAAACAGCTCCAACAGATACTCATTAGATGACGTGCTAATACAGAGGTGATTACAGATGGGGTATACTTCGTACCTGTCTGGGGATGGCGCTCCTGACTGCGGAGATGGTGCTGGCAAGTTCGTTCTTACTGCATAGGGATCCAGACGCTCCGAATTCAGAAGCCTAGGAAAGACGAAGGGCCAAAAGTCAGTTGAACAGTAACATGCTGCCTGGTGAGCATGATATTCATCACACATGGGACAATGTAATCAACGCACTGCGGCTTCGAAGAAATGCGGTCACGCTTGAGCGTTATCACGATGCAACACGTCAGGAATGCAAAGCATGCTGTTGCTAGAAAGACCAATCAGTATCACAGTTACGTTTTACAGGGCGACTAATCGCACTAAGTCGACGAGCAGGGATATACTCGACCACGCTTCACATCAGTGACAACGGGGTCGCAGTCGTGAGGAGTCCCAAAAACCTATGCCTAGTGATCTCATTCACTTCCAAGTATCTACAGAAGAACATTCAAACCGCGCACACTTTGAGACAGGATTAAACAAGATAAACGATGGGATGCTTGTTCGACAGCCATTCAAGTTTAAAGAGCCATTCGTACTCTTCCATTAGTTTGGAGTGTTCATAGGATGCAAGTGAGAACGACGGAAAACCAGCTATGAGTGACATGGTTACATTGGAGGCAAATCATAGAGCCATCGAAACCCGCGTTGGTCCTACACGGGTCCCTCAATCTAAGCAGTGTTGGAGAGGGAGATAGGCAGATGAACCGACTCAGGAAAGACCTACAACACGAATGAACACATGACAGACAATACCCACAAACAATGCAGCTTGCCCTCTGGATACCAACTAAGGAACCTTTCGATGTCTGGATTCTTTGTGTCCACAATTACTACACCGACAGTCGACCATCACACAAAATCTCCTTAACTAACACATCAACCAAACAACAGCGCCACCATTGCACACGCATTCAGTCCAGGAATAACCCACGCTGCCAACCTCCATTTCACCACCAACAAACCATAAAGATGCCATTCACACACAGGTCCTCTCACCTGTCCTGCCGAGAGGGGTAGAGTCTTGAGAGAGCTGCTGCATCGCCGCTGCTCGGTCTTGCCGACGCTGTTCCCGAGCGAGAGCTGCACAGTCACGGCGGCCTTGGACGCGGATATCGAAGCTGTCGCCATGCTAGTGCAATTCGGCAATGCGGCTCCTGATGATTGTGGAAATACAAGTCCCGGTAGTACTCTCTGGGCGGACAAGAGGTACTGAAGCTGATATTAGAGAGCCTGGACGTGAGCTGCGAGGCTGTCATAGCCTCGGGGGTCGACCAGAAACAGACAATGACGATCAGGTCCGACCTTCCCACCAAGGGTCAGACTGCACCCTCTGATCACACCTCCAACGGCTCAGATCGTTCATCTAACGCAAGACCAGCTCGTGCTAGTGATGAGACAACTCATCTCCAATACAATTCAACAATTACCAGATGCGGATCCTGATGTAGATATGACCTTTTTTTAGCATACATGAGGCTGTCAGGTACACAATTTGTTAGGGAAAAAGCACCTCTTATGCTCATTACTCTGACGCTGGCGTAATTCCCGTGTGCGCGTTAGTTCCTCTGCTCATGGTAATTTCCTTCAATTATGCATTGACACAGATTCCGAGAGCTTAAGTATTTGTTTACAGTCTATCGTCGAACAGCAAATCTTCAAGGGGGTCCTTTTTATGTAGTGGTCGCATGGGAAGCAGTCGGGTAACACTCATGCGGTGTTGAATGATTGGTGGGAACATCAGACCCTTTTTCCATTGAACTCATTGCATCCTCTTCAGGACCGTATTCGCAAAAGCGCAGCACTGCTGTCCACTTCTGGAATTTGGACGATGAGGTATCTTTGGGTAGGACTTGTTGGCCATTCGACGCCAGAGAATAGGAAGATAATTTTATGGTAAAGCCTGCTCGCATCGTCACGCACATACAGCATGTTCTTGTGATTGAGTTCTGTACAATGATGTGCTAGGATACAGTACCCGAATTTCACCATGTGTTCTCATCCTCACATCCCCCCCCCCCCCCGCCCCTTCCAAGATGAGGTTTCACCCTCGACATAACAACGCTGTCGGAGTTTGTCAGCGTCTGCTTCGTTCCGCTTAGGAGTGAAGTTTCATACGATATTATACAATTTAATGCTGTGGAGCTAGAATATAGAGCAAGTGGTCAATTAGGATAAATTTTATGCTAATTGGGCTGCAAAGGGGTTCAACTGCAGCACCAACCAATTGGGCCGCAAGGGAATTGAACTACAGTGCCTACCAATGGGAGCAGCAAGAAGCAACGGCAATGCGCAAGTCTACCAGGTTAACAAGGAGCAGGCAACGGCTCAATCCTCTCTACCCTTCCCAACCACCCGAAAAGCAAAAGGTGTGTCTGCCATCCAAAGGTATCCCATCTCGCAAACCTACGGCTGCCATTCAGAGTTGGTTTCTTATCCACCTGTGGAAGGCGACACAATCTCAACCGCAAGCTGGAAGGCAAACATCCTCCAGTAACTCAAGGAGTAATGGCGTCGCCAGCTCGCCGCGTCCCGTCACCCCCAGCCCAATACTTGCCTCCGGCTCTCTTAGTCTGTTTCTGGTCACACCACCGACCAATGTCCACTCGGGTAGCGGAAAAAGCTCCCGCTCTTGGGCTAATTCCAGAACCCCAATTAAGCGCTGCATCTACAGGCTTCCAATTAGCGTGGGACGAAATGGTCATGTCCACCATCGAAGCTCCTTCATTGGAGCGGATCACACCCAAAAGAGCTACATGAAAAGAGATATTCAAAAGGAAAAACATGAATAATGTTTGTAATGCACGCCAGGGTTTGTCTTGGGAGCTGAGCCCAGTTGCGCTTTGGATCCATCTCTGAACCGAGCTCCAGATTTAGACCAACCAGGCTGGGCTCCCTCTCTCTGCTCACGCCCCAACAGAGCGCCAAACCCTAATTTCCATCGCCTTCTCTCCCGTTGCCTCCGTCCCATGGACGTCGTCGAAGGCCATATCCGCGCTCTTGGGGCGCCCCCCCTGGCCTTTAATACCGCTTTGACTGCAGGCACCGGTCCCCGTCTCACGCACTGAGGGAAACTAAGCCCACATGTACTTAGCTTGCCTCGCCATTCAACGTTAATAATTCCTCATCCACGTTACATATTTTGTGTAATACAAATAACGCAGTGAGTGATTCATAAAGTGGGTAGGTTATCTTTTTATTCATTGCTTCTTCTTCTTAATATTTTTTAAAAATTTGATCATGAAATGGATTTTATTGTTGGGTTGATGAGAAGGTTCGGTGTCCTGATAACCTTTGATTGCGTGGTGGAGTTTTACTTGAAAGTTAGTAACAAAACAACATGTGTCTTGTCAACTTAATTGTTGTTGATTGATTGTGTAATTACACGTGGTAATGACGGGTTCGTGAGTTTTCTTGGTGTATAAGGTTGTACTATTAAAATATTCCATTGAGTACGCAATATTGAGATTTCTGTCTTTTTGTAGATGTCATTTGACATTAGCAACCTATATGTATGGTTCAGAGTTTTGTCAATGTTTAACAAAATATTATATTTAAAGAAATATGATATTTGCACAAGTACACACACATGTATTTGCATAAGTTTAGGTTTATATATGTACATACGTATAAAAATCAAAGGAGAAAACTTCCATCAAAACATCAGCTGGACACGCACACACAAAATAAATAAATAAATAAATAAATCAAAACTTAATTATTAGAAGCTTTTCGTATTGCCTTACCAAAATTATGTTGAGTAGTTATATATTCATATTAAATATGTTTTATATATTTTGTAAAATAGAAAAGTATTAGTTACAAAAGATAACATTTGAATATGCAATGCTCAAGGAAGTGGCATGTCAACATGGATTTATCTAGTCAATTAAACCAAGAGATGGTTCAATTTTTTGAAGATGAAAGAAATGTATAAAAAAATAAAAATTATCATGAAAAAAACCAACACGTAAAAAAAAAAAAAAAAAAAAAAAAAAGAAGAAGAATTACAATAACTTTGAAGTTATTTTGAAGTTGATTACAGTTTCATCTTATAACATGCATTCAATAAATTAACTCCATTGATGAATCATACTCATGCATGTGTGTATATGTGTATGTTCCTAAAAAACTTAACAATAGAAATTCTTATAAAAAATAGACTATAAACGCCACAAACATCATTGCAAATATTTATAAAACAATCATATGTGAATGGTTGAATTTCTGGAATATTCTTGTTCATAATTTTTTCCAAATATTTCAAACTATTTTACTATATACTTTGACAAACATCTTACAAAATAAATAAATAAAACACAACAGCTCTTTATTAATTGGAATTCAACCAACCATGAAATTTCAAGGACAGACACTAAGTTGTTTACATAATGTAGATATACGAAAAATACTGTAAAGTTTTTCATTTTTGCAAAACATAAAAATTATACATATTTTAAAAATGTAATTAACAATATAAAATTTATACTTCACATAAAAGGAAAGAAATGTAAAAGTTCCAATAAATTTCAGATGTATGTATATAAATATAAATATATCTATATCTAGGTAAAAATATAATAGTATTGGAATGAACTTTTTAACATGTAAAAACTGAATCTTACATCTTTTGTAGAGTCTATTGAGGGTGGAATGAAATTTCAGCAATTACCATTTTAACTTACTTTAATACTACTACCACTGAATGTACTGTAATTATGTATCATTTATTTGCAGATCAGAACTGTGATATATTGATTAACTTTAATTATTACTTTCAAACCCAAAATAATAAAGACAATTTCTCTCTATGCATTATCAAGTAATTGACTTTCGGGTTCAAATGAGTTCGTTCTTATACTATTCATATGTGCTTGAGGATTGCATACAGTCTGTGTATGGTGTAAAAAAATAAAAAAAGGTCATTTCATCATAGATTCATGGAAATTTTAAAACCTATTTAGATGAACTTGGAAATTCTTCTTTATGGGAAGAATGTGTATAAGATCAAAATAACAATTCTATTATATTATCTAATATAAATCAATGCATAAGGTTAAATAACTACCAATAAATAAGTTTAAATTTCACCAACAATACACCAACAAGTTGGACACTAATGAGATTAAACGATATTAAATTAACAACAAGAAAATAACCATGACCCACAACACCAGAGGATTTGTAATACATAAGTTAAATAAATCAAATAAATAAAGAGAGATGTGCACATAGCAATTCCACTTGGTGGACACCCCTATTATTATTTGTGTGTTTGTTTTGATTAGCCTTAGTGTCATTAATGTTCATGTATTGTGGGTTGTTGTTTTTATACCTTTCAACTTTATTAATGTCTAATTTGTTGAAACATTTGTAATAGTGGTTTATTGTTGGTGTGGCACTAAATATTTACCACATCAACCATTCAAATAAAAGAGTTGTGTCATACTAAACATCACTTTGATGACGCATTACTACTGAGAAACGGTGAATGTTCTGCACATTGAAGCAAACAAACCATTTCAGAGCTCAGTCAAATATTGTAATTTCAACAAAGACTTGAGCTACGTCTTTCTTTCAGAGGAATAAAACAACTGTCTGCTACAGTTACATGTATGCACAATGTTAATCCAAGGGTTTTAAAATACAGAAAGTGATTGAAAGAACATCAAAACATTTCCACAAACCAGATCCTTTTGAATGAGTGGAACTACAATTGTTGATTGACATGACAAAGTTTGCAGTAAAGCTGAGCCGCTAACGCCAACATTGAGTCACGCAATAGACATACATCGTATCAGCATTTCTGTTCACATGTTTGCAGCATCAGAACTATGTTCATGATGCACGACCCACAAGCATCAGAAACCTGAATGCTTTCATCACTTTCTCCAGAATTTCAAACTTAGCGAAGCAAATGCTGGTAACATCTAGGTATGTGGGAAGTCTTCGCGTAATTCACAACCTCCATGCCTCCAATATCTAGCCAGAAGATGCAAGGATACAATAATAACAGTAAAGTACAATTACCCTGCCTCATGTCCACTAATACGGGAGTTTTCCAGGGTTGTTAACCATAGAGAATCGCACAGTGCTGTACTGGCTTGATGCTGCAACTGAATGTTTAAAGCTAAAATCAATTACAACAAACACCCTACTTCAGGATGAAGGTACACGAGCAAAACTGCGTCTAAGAAAGGGGCCAACGTACTTTCGGTATTGCCACCTCTATCCTAAAAATTTACATGAAAGTATACGTAATCAGAAATTCAAACATTACAGTCTCATAATGTTTCCGAAGGCAGATGCTTATCACCCTAGGCTAGCCTGATAGAGATCACTTCAACTTCAGTACTGCTTGAATTGATATATCTGGAATTGATTCTCCCTCAAACTGTCATCATAAATATTATGATAAGCTAGTCCATACAAGACATTACATCAGATGGATGCGGAGTGCTAGTACGCTTCCATCTCCTGCGCGTAATGACCCAAATTAACTTCATAAACCAAAACTCCTTGACAGATGATTTCGCATTGCGAATGCGGAGCACAACCTACAAAACTTTCTTCATAAGCATACTGCTCAGTAAATTTGTCGGCCATCTCCCTCAGTAATGATCTCCTTGAAACTGGCTCCTCCTGGAATCATAGGCAACACATGTTCCTGGTGGGGGACGATAACATCCAGGAGATAAGGTCCTGGGGTTTCAAGCATTTTGGTAATTGCATCCCTCAAGTGTTCTCTCCGTGTCACACGAGCTGAAGGTACCTTGCAACCCTCCGCAATCTTGCAAAAGTCAGGGTAGATATCTGCTTCAGCCTCTGGGTCACCTAAATAGGTATGAGCTCGGTTTGCCTTGTAGAATCGATCTTCCCATTGGACCACCATACCTAAATGCTGATTATTCAAGATCATAATCTTCACCGGCAGCTTCTCCACGTGTATCGTAGCAAGCTCTTGAATGTTCATAATGAAACTTCCGTCTCCATCGATATCAACCACGGGGATATCAGGGTGTGTAGCGGCAGCACCGAGGGCAGATGGCAAACCAAAACCCATAGCTCCAAGTCCACCCGAAGTTAGCCACCTTCTCGGTTGCTCGTACTCGTACCATTGTGCGGCCCACATTTGGTGTTGCCCTACACCAGTTGAAATGATAGCATTGCCTCCTGTCAACTCGCACAAGGTCTGGATGGCAAGCTGCGGTACAATCACGGAATTGTCAAATTTAGGGAACTTCATAGGCCACTTCAGCTTCACGCCGTCAAGTTCCGCTCGCCAGGCTGAAAAGTCTGGCCTTTCAGCTGGCCCCTCCTTAATAAGCTTGTTGAGCCCGGCAAGAGCCAGCTGCACATCAGCGCAAATGGAAATATGAGGCTGCTTGTTTTTTCCAATTTCCGCAGGGTCAATATCAATGTGCACTATACTGGCTCTTGAGGCGAACGACTCCAACTTTCCAGTCACACGATCATCAAATCGCACTCCAAACGCCAAAAGCATATCTGCGTTGTCGACGGCATAATTGGCGTACACTGTTCCGTGCATTCCGAGCATGGACAGATACCGCTTATCTGAAGCAGGGAATGTTCCCAATCCCATCAAGGTAGATGTTACTGGAATGCCAGTGAGCTCGACAAATTCCCGGAGCTCCTTACTTGCGTGTAAACAGCCACCACCAGAGTAGATGACAGGCTTCTTAGCAGTGGCCAGGAGGCGGATGATCTGCTGCATCAAGGAGATCTGTGGAGGAGGAGGAAGACGACTCAAGTATGATTGGAGCTTCATTGGTTGATTCCAGTCAGGAATGGCCATTTGTTGCTGAATGTCTTTCGGGATGTCAACCAGTACTGGACCAGGGCGCCCTGATGCAGCAAGGAAAAACGCCTCCCGAATGACGCGAGGAATATCCTCAACTGTCATGACCAAATAGTTGTGCTTGGTAATCGACCGAGTGACCTCCACAATGGGAGTCTCCTGAAGTGCGTCAGTGCCGATAAACCTCCGAGGCACTTGACCAGTGACGGCAGTGCAGCGTGCGCGATGTCCAGCAACGCATCAGCAAATCCCGTCACAAGATTGGTAGCTCCCGGTCCGGAAGTCGCAATGCAAACTCCAACACGTCCTGAAGACTTCGCATAGCCCTCAGCAGCGAAAATCTCACCCTGCTCGTGCCTGCACAGCACATTTCTGATGACGTTGGACCTGGTGAGAGCTTGGTGAATCTCCATCGAGGCGCCGCCAGGGTACGCAAATGTGGTGCGCACGCCCTCTCTTTCGAGGGCCTCCACAAGAATGTCTGAGCCCTTGCGGGGCTCATCATCAGCATACCTGGAAACAAAATCCCTCGGAGTCGGAGCTGTCAGGGATTTGCCACTGCTGATTCTGGTCTCAATTGCACCAATGGCAGCCACGTCCGCCTCCTTCACCGCCGCCATTCCCATATGCTCCATACCCTTCTCTTCACTTAAAATGCTGACAACCCCGCCGGAGCTAGGACCGGCGGCCATTGTGCTCCTACTCCTCCTCGGAGCGCCAACCTTTACCTCTGGTACACCTCGGAAGAAAGCGCTCCTAGAGAATTGTTCTTCATTGGACTGTAATTTCTGCGACGCTCGCACACCGCCGGCCTTTGCAAACGCCAACGCCGAAGCACGCTCGCCACGCCTGTCTCCGCAGTCGGGCCTCACCAATGCAGCTGCGGCTGAGGACTGTAACGCCCCCGCTCTGCAGCTGCAACAGGTCTGGGCCATCGTTGTCACACCTCGTCGCCAAACCCTAGCCGACACTCGAAAGCAAAATATCCCCAACCTCACCAAATAACCTCCAGCTCGTGCTCAAAAACCTTAACAACCGATCAACAAATGAACACAGTCACAATTCAACGCTCCACAACAACAATGCCACCACTTCACCTCACAAACCCAAACCTCCAAAGCCCAAGGACATGTACCTCAAAAACCCACAGACAAACACCTCAGAAACAACAGAGAGCTTTCAAAATTACTGATTTCTTTTGTAGAAAGATCACAAAACAGGAGAACTCACAAGTGGATGATCAACGAAGAAATGTTTGGAAAGGAAGGAGGACATGATCTGACCTGAACGTTGTGAAACGATATAATGGGGTGACAGTGGTCTACTCTCCACTCCTCTCAAGAGCTTCCTGCCGTATGAACAATGCAGCCTCATTTGGATATTGATGAATGAAAACTGCTTCATCTACGATACTCTACTGACGAAAGCGAGATATTGTTAGCATCGAAATGTTCCACACCAGAAAAGACATGCTTCAAGTTGTGAATTGTCAAACAGGTATCTCCCAAAAAGCACCAACTTACAATGTAAATGTCGTGTTTATTGAGGAGGCTCGGTTGGATTCCAAGCATACGAGTGTTGCTTGTTTGCTGCGTTTTCTATTGAAGACAAGATTTGCACAACTCGATGAGTTCTAAGTCGTTTTGTCCAACGCTTCAACGAATCAAGCTTCACAGCGTTTAGATATCACATTTGTTGAGAAATGGTGCAACGGGTCAACGAATCTTTTCCACTTGCTGACGTGCCATTCAGCTGTATTTGAGTGTGTCCAAAGCATTGAATTTGACGTACAGTGAGCACACAGAGGTGTAGATCACAACATTAATCTCCTCTTGAACCGGGCGGGTTATCGAAGCAGTACAAGCTGATGTCAAAAATGTGTCGCCAATCTAAGGAAGTGAAGTTAGTATCATGAATAGCGGTGATGTTTCTGGTTCTTAAAGTTATGTGAGAGAGGTACCGAGACATGCTGATTACATTTTTAATTGTTTGCGTTGTAATTGATAATGAAGTGGCTTAATTTGCTATCACCGATGAGCGGTCACTAGATGATCGACATTGCGTCGATATCGATGGATAGTAAAGGCTTGACGACAATGAAATACGAGTCATATAGAAATGCTTCCTTTCAAGCCTTTCATGGGTGTTGAAAAACTCGTCACAATATCAAATGTTGCCTAGCATAAATGTCCAAAATGGAAAGAGATAAAGACTACGAACTTCCTGGCAACGACAGTGCTTCAAACCTACCCTTACTGATTGCTTTTTCTAAGCATTTGGGGGAAAAAATGAATACACGCTACCTGATGGGGAGAAACGGCATTAAAAAAACGCCACAGGGTGTTGATCAGAGCTGGACTGCTAAGTGTCATTCTGAGTGTCATTCTAAACTGCTGTTTCCTCGACTGATGCATTCAAGGATTCAAGGTTATCGATACCCAAATCGTCAGCGACCGTAGAGAAATCGTTTCCTACACCAAATCCAACCTGCACAAAAAAAAAAAAAAAAAAAAAAAAAAAAAAGGATTTAAGAGTGAAAGTTTGCTCATTAGACTAACCATACAGAGGGCGTTCAGTGGAATTACGAATCAACTTTTTGTACTGCCACGATCAGGGAAAATCACTGAACTCAAACTAAGTTCACTGCACAGATTCACCGAGAAACGAGCATCGTAAGAACATCATTATCGACAGTACAAGAAGGGAACGGCGACATGGGCACTCCTATTAAAGACTGGGTATGATCCTTGATTTCATACCTCTTGAAACTGCTGAAGTCGCAATTCTTCTGCCCTAGCAGCTGCCTCGGCTTGAGCAACCCTTTGCCTGAAGGTCTTAGCCATCTCATCAGCCTGCAGTGCAAGAACCGATTGGCTTAAATACACACCTCAATAAGTAAATAAGCACCACGAACTGAAAATATTAATGACGATCAAAATTTCAGGATAGAAAGACTTGAATTCGTTACTTTGTGGTTCATTTTCGGTACAACCAAAATGCGAAAATGTCAGTGCATTACAAAGAAGATAAGGCTTTTGAACGTAAATGATTAACCTTCTCATAAACCAATTGTGGGTTACGCAACATGTCACCAGGTGTTGGCTCAAGCTTCTTGGTGGACAAACTGATTCGGCCTCTGTCCTTGTCCTGACTCAAGACCATAACCTGGATGAACTCAGCCAGAAAAATTATTCAGTTAATGATATCCTCGTCATCTGCACAAAACCCTCCACTTTCATGCTGTATGATAAAATAATATGATCGGAGAAATACTATGTATAAACTTCTCAACGGGCATTTCTGTGAATAGCTGTGAGAAAAGCATAGTCTTGAAGAACACTAAATACCTTCAACTTGTCTCCAGGTGATAGTACAGTCTCCACACTTGTGAGGCGGTCGTGACTGATTTGACTGATGTGCAGCAGACCACTGACTCCTCCAATATCGATAAAGGCTCCGTATGGCTTAACAGTTTGAACAGTTCCCACAACAACTGAACCAATGCCGAAGGCAGACTGACTCTCTGCAAAGGTGGCTTTTCTGTTGCTGAGAACGAGGCGTGTACGCTCCTCGTCCACCTCAAGAAACTTAAGGGGAATCTCCTTGTTCAGTAGTTCCTCAGGATTGGATTGGGCTCCCCTCTGCAAAGGAACAAAAGAAAAACCATTTAGGTCAACTTGACAGTAGTACGCACAGGATCCCATAGAATAAGGCCAAGGTGGTGAGAAAGGCATGATAGCAGTAACACTTTGAAAGATACACCAGGAATTAAATATAATTTGCAAAGAGATGCAGAAGAGTAACTATGAAACACTTACAGCTGAAATCTGGGAAAAGGGAACGAAACCACGCAGACCCTCAACGGCTACAACGAATCCTCCAGAGTTAGATGACAAAATCTGTCAAAGGGAAGATAAACATACAGCGTCAGTAGAGGGTCAGGCCTACCTACAGTTACTTTTGAGGATACGAGAACCTCGGTCGTTCAGGTTGCAAATCGGGAAGGGGTAACAGACTGAAAAATTCCAACTCCAGTGTCATTCTTGTAATGCTACCATTCTCTTCAGCCACTCCCATCTAATCCGAGCCCTAGAGCGAATATTATCCAGGCATAAGTCAATAATATCTCTGCAACAAGAACCAAATATGATATTCTCTGCTAATTCATGAAGCATCTTGTTCAATAGTCTGAACACTCCAAGAGTTATTCACGTTCAATGTTATCTAAGTTAAAATGAACGCTTCTTGCTTTAATTTCATGATGATGTCTTTTCAGACTTAACACATCCAAATCAACGTAGCCAATGCTCAGACCTTCTTACTTGATGTCCCTACAAAGACTGGAAAGCGATTAGGAATGTCGGGGAAAAAAATGGACATACCGTTCCTCTGACGACGACGTCATCTGCCAACAACTGAGCGCATCGCTCCCAGCATAATTCGTGTTGAATCTTCCTCAAACTCAAAATCATGCGGCCATTGTCATCATCATCCTTGACAATGACGAATTCCTCTTCGGTGCCAGGATAAAGCCCAACTTCCTCTACGCTCCTCAATTTGTGAATGCAGGCCTCTGCCATGGGCAAGTAAGCTGGTGCCTTAGCCCCAATATCAATGAGAGCTCCATTGTAGTCTGATTTGAAGACCACCCCCTTAACCTGCACAGGAAAATGTCGGAATCAGTCATGGACCCAACAAAATCCTCACAAACATTCCCCAGCGGCACATTCCGCAATGCTGCACAACCAGAATCCAAAAGCAGGAAACACGCCCACTTACCATGTCGCCGATTTCAAAGCTGAAGTCGTACTTCGAAAGAACCTCAGCGAATTCTTCGTGGGTAAACTCCACTCCAGCAAGGGGGCTCTCAAGAGCGGCCTCCCATCGCCTCTCCACCTCCTCGAGCAGCCCCTGTCGACTCTTGGGAATCGTGAAAGCGGTCCGGCAAGTGACGCGACTCCCATTGGAAGCTCCCTTCACGCCCAATTGTGCGCCTGCCAAGCGGCTGCTGCTGCTCGCCAACCCAAAACCCTTGGAGCTCCCCAACAGGGCCCCAGCTGCCACACTCTGCGCAGCTACAATTGCTGCCATAGCCGCTAACGAAAAATTGCGACGTCGACAAACAAACACACACACACCCACAGACTACGTGACTGCGGCGAGATCCTTGAAGGCCTGTGGTGGCATGGAGCTGAGAATATTCAAGCTCCGACTGCGATGATCGCAGATTGTGAGGCAGCCCCAGCGTCATCTGTGGGGGGGGGGGGGGGGGACAACGGAGGCGGGGGAGCTCTAGGGGATAAGGATGTGCCACGTGTCTAGATCGGGTTGGGCGAACCTTCTCTGTCCATCCACTTCAGCTGGCTATCGTTCATTTTCATTTGTTCGTCCATGCTCGTTGGCGGTGAAACTAGCGGGCTCTCAACCGTAGCAAGTTGTGAGCCGTCCATGGAAAAGGGGGGTTGGTTGTAGCACATCGTCTTACCAGAAGATGAGTATGTATGACATCCACAAACTCCACTGGGAGGGGGTTTAATGGTCTACTCAACCCTTCACTTGACTACCCACATGAGACAAAATGGTGGGTTCACATAGTGCTAAGCATACTGTGCCAGAGTTTGAGCACTTGGTAACAATACTTATGAACACACATCTATCTATCTACATATATATATATATATATATATATATGTTTATTTATTGTGATACTTTGGATTATTTTGAATTTTTAGATTTTAAAAAATTCAACTTAAAAATTAATGATTCAAACATTATATATAACTGTATATATATATATATATATATACACACACATTGCAATTTTTTTAAAGATGAAGTTACAATTTTTTTAATATTATGTTATATTTTAATTTTTTAAGATTTTATTTAAATTAGCTGATGAATTATATTAGTATTGTAACATATTAAAATTTATTAACCTTCTAATGATTTGTGTTATTAGATATTAGAAGAAGCTTCTAAATCCTTTCTAGTACCTAAGCAGCTAATAACAAGTTTTTTTAGGAAGTATGTTACAATAAGATTTTTCATCTTACTTTCTATAAGAAGCTTCCAAAAAATACTTTGAACATTTAAAAATATTTAAATTACACATTTTTTGTTTTAATTATAATTAATATAATATTTGGTAAGTTATAGAAATTAACTTATTTGACTTATTGCTAAAAATATAATTAAATATAATACTTAATTTATTATTTTATGTATTAGAGATTTCTTTGAGATTTATTTATCTTATAGTTGGCAAACTTATGCATAAACTTCTTCAATACATGGTTGAATTTGATTATAATTATTTTTCATGTTGTAATTTTTAATTTAAAAAGGATGTAAGAAATCCTTAATTTAAATACTTTAAATTAAACTCTAAATAACCAAATCTTTTGCCCTAAGATTATTAACTTTTAAAAAGTAAAAAGCATCAAGTCGTGGATGATAACCATAATTAGCAAAGAAAGGTGTTTATTGCATAGAAGAATACACTATTGTTATGTTGTAACATGACTATATGGTGAAAGATAATAATATGGATCTTATTACAAAAGAGCCAAGTTAAAAGATAAAATAGAAAAATATAGATAAAAGATAGGAAGGTAATAAAACTTTTAGTAGTAATGCTATCTTTTTAGAAAAGTGACTTCTACTTATTTTATAGGGCCATAAATAAGGCAAAATAAAGTAGATTAAAAAAATAAAAGATATAAGCATATGTAGGAGGGAGTTAGGAGTTGGTTTTAGCAAAACTTATCTAAAAGAACTAGATATTGATACTTGGAGAGGGCCAGTTATGAACTTGGGTTGAGAACAGACCCCAAGGCACAAAACTGAGTCCGAATGATGATTAGAGGGTTTTTTGGTTGACCAAAGAATGAGATTGGAGAGGAGACTTGATAGAGTTTTTATAGGCATTGATTTTGAGGATTTTAGGTAGATATTGACTTTGTAAGAGCTTTACAAAGTTGAGGTTGTTTTTGGTGACTTTAGATTTTTGGAAATAAAATAAAATTAACGTTTTGGATAATTTCAAGAGTTTAGTAATAAATCTATAGATGAGATTTTTTAGATTTGTGGGTGTAGTTGTGCTAGATTTGTATTATGAATTTGGATTTGATCAAATAATTAGATTAAAAAGCATGAAGGTTTTTGTGGGTTATGGTCTCAAATTTTAGGATTTTAAGGACTAGTGAGGTTTTCTTAGATATTTGTCAATTTGCTAGTTAAATTTAAGCAAATTTATTCAAAAAATTAATAAGCTTGATTTTTAAAAAATATATAATTTTTGGAAGCAAAGTAATGGTTTAATTAAAAGTAATTGGCTCTGGGAGATTGGCATCAAGGTCAGAGTAGGAGGCATATCCACATCTAAGTACATTTTTGAGATTATCATCTATTTGATAATTTTGATCATTTTTTATTTTTTTGTATACTTATTTTTAACTTAATTGGTAAAGAATGTATAAAATTTGATTTGAAATCAATAGTTCAAACATTAGTTATTAAATTTCAAAATCTGTTGTAAGGTTGTTAGAAATTTGTTTGAAATTTAAAAAATTGATTAAGGTTTGATTAAGATTGTCACGAACATAGAAATATAGACTCAAGATCTAACAAGAAGTTCAAGAAGAACTGGCAAGAACTAGATTAATCAGATGAATACAAGAACAACACCAGAGAGGTGAGCTAGAGCTCCAAGAGATGTGTTGTCGAGACTGAAGAACTCTTCAGCCTCGATTCCAATATATAATCTTATTTAGGAAGCTTCTCAAGCAACTTCTACTAACTAGGAAGCTTCTAGAAGGTTCCAGAGACTTGCTTCTAGAAGGTTCTAGAAACTTATCTCTAGAAGGTTCTAAGGACTATGTCCCTAATATCTTTTACCAACTAAGAAGCTTCTAGAAGGTTCCAGAGACTTGTTTCTAGAAGGTTCTAGAAACTTGTCTCTAGAAGGTTCTAGAAACTTGTCTTTAAAAGGTTCTAAGGACTATGTCTCTTATATCACCCCTTCCTTTAGCTTCGAGGTCTCTGAGAAGCAATATTGTTGTTAATCAGTACCAATGCAAGAAAATGAAGATCTGTCGCATAACGTCTGCTATGAACTCCAACTATTGTTCACGAGGTAAGTGGTTCATTGGCCCTTGAAGCCAATGGTAGTGGCCCACTCCTTCAACTTTTGACCAAGCATGAACTTTTGTGTCTTCATTGTGAAATTTTCCTGCAAATATACCTTCTGGCTGACCATCGTAAGTAGGCTCGGACTCAAATATAATCACTAGTGATTGGTTACTCGGTATCCTTTGTTGTCATCGTGGTGTAGGTAGTTCTTCATCTCGGGATCGCCTTCGTGAGCTAGTTGGTTGAGATAATCTGACTGGAATAGTATCTATCTCTTGGCTATCCATATTAGAAGACCAAACTATGGCTACTGAAAAAATTCTATTTTATCTTGGAGAAAATAACTACATCAACTACGAATTTTGGTAATGTTCTCCTTCTTTCTTATATTTTTGGATGAACAAGCTTCAGAAGGAAGCTATCGTCGAATCGGCTTAGGTTTATGAGGGTGTTGTTGATGAAACTCCTGTACCTTATGCGACGCATTGGCGAGATTTTCAGCTGGCTCCTACGTTCGCTCATTAATGTCGTAGCCACACCAATGAACAAGATACTCCAACTTATCCCACCTTTGCGTGAATCTAACACCTTTTCAACCTCGTATTCCTTATGGTTCTCGATCTCAATACTAGGTGGCAGACATTGCACTCTTCCAAGAAAAGATGACTCTCGATAAGGCTCCAACAGAGAAATATGAAAGACTGGATGTACCTTCATAGAAGGCGATAATTCCAGACGGTACCCCACTGGATTGATTTGCTTCTGGATGATAAATGGTCCCAATCTTTGATAGTCCAACTTATCACATGGTCGCTTAGTCTTGATATTCCGTCGAAGAAGCCATGCTTTATCTCCAATTTTGAAAGTAGGTGCTTGATTCAGAAATCTATCTGCAGACGCCTTGTAGGATTCGTGAGCGGATTGTAATTGATGACAAAGATGCTGTCAAATGAGTTCAATGATGGTAGGTCCGTGATGAAGTCCATGGAAATTAAAGACCATGGTCGACATGGAATCGGCAATGGCTGTAGGAGTCCATAAGGGCGATGCTGAGGATTCTTGGATCTTGAACAGATGTCATAGGAGAGGATAAAATCTTTCACATCCTTCCACATTTGGGACCACCAAAAATCTCAAAAAATAAGCTCCAAAGTCTTGTTGAATCCAAAATATCCCGCAGTTGGAAAATTGTGGCAAGATTGAAGAACTCAGAGTCGTGCTGGTCCTTTTGGGATATATAACTGCTCCTCAAAGTATAAAAGATCTCCCTCCACCTTGAACTTGTCGTCATTGGCACGCTGCTTAATATCAATGGCTACTGAATCTTCAATGGTCACGACATGTACTTGATTCAGGAAGTCAGTATTAATTGGCACAATAGTAGCGCAAAGTTAAAATTGCTCTTGCTTCAATAATGTCATACATTGTTGATCAAATGCTGCTTCTCCAACCTTTGGTACAAGGTATGATCTCCTCCATAAGGCATCAGATAGTCCTTACTGCTTTCTAGGTCGATAAGTGATAACAAAATCGAACCTAGATAGCAACATACTCCACCGAGGTTGACGTCGATTTAGAACTCGAGCCGACATGAAATACTTCAAATTCTTGTGATCTGTATATAGGATCTCTAGGTGTACAGCTCCTTCAAGAAAATGACACCATTCTTGGAAAGAATCCACTATAGCAAGAAGTTCCTTATCATGGATCTCATAATTGATTTCAGCAGTAGAGAACTTTCAAGAATAGAATGCAACCGGATGGAGCTTCTTATCTTCTCCCATTTGTGAAAGTACAGCTCCCAAAGCAAAATCCGAAGCATCAGTTTCTAAATAAAATGCCTTTGTAAAGTCTAGATGTACCAAGATTAGAGCCGTAGTAAATGCGGTCTTCAGGTCTTGAAACGCCTTCTCCGTTAGAGGTCCCCATTCTAACTTATCCTTGCATGTCAACTGAGTGAGAGGAGTAGCAACTTGAGAGTAATTCTTGATGAAGATCCGATAGAAGTTGGCAAAACCAAGAAAGTATTGTACATCTCTAACTGTCTTCGGAACCTCCTAGGACACGATTGCTTCCACCTTCTTGGAATCCATCTTCAAGCCTTCC